CCGTTTTTCAGAGAGCCATGGTAGCCGTCCTCAAGGACTTCATCCCTGATAAGGTTGAAGTTTTTCTGGATGACTTTCCTGTAAAAGGGCCAGTAGACAGGGATGAGACAGAGGTTGTACTTGGAGTTAAAAGATTCGTCGAGCAGCACCTAACAGATATTTGCGCAGTACTCGAGCAGCTGGATGATGCGAATTTAACAGTCAGCGGAACAAAGAGCCGATGGGCCGTCTCGACTATTAAGATCTTGGGCTTTATCTGTGACTCGAGAGGACGCCGAGGAGATCCGGCGAAGTTAGACAAACTTCTGAACTGGTCGTCACCGTTACATAGCCCAACCGAGGTCCGGCAGTTTCTAGGAGTGGTCGGTTACTGGCGTATATTCATACGGGGGTATGCGGAGAAGGCTGAGCCATTGAGGTTACGCCTTCGAAAGACTGAAAAATTATACTGGGATTCTTCGCAGGAACTCGCTATGCAAGAACTTAAAGACGAATTTCAGGAGGGAGGACGCGTGTTGGGCGTGCCATTCTTTCATGATGAGACCGAGAGACCCTTCATAGTATCCACGGACGTTGGACCATGTTCAGTAGGTGGTTTGCTGTCTCAGAAGGACGCCGGAGGGAAGGAAAGACCGTTAAGATTTGAGAGTAGGACCCTTAATACGGCTGAGCGTAACTACAGTCAATTCAAGAAGGAAGTGTTAGCTRTTCTCCGGTGTCTAGACACGTTCAGACACTATATCTATGGGCGACGGTTCATCTTGAGAGTAGAACCCACCGCGGTTGCCTCTGTCCTCCAGAAGGACTTTAGTCTGACGGACCCGACCACCTCCCGATAGTTAATACGGATTCGGCTATACGATTACACGGTTAAGAGGATATCTGGCACTAAAAATGCCGTGGCAGATGGACTTTCGCGCATCTCTCTTGAGGCCGAGCACCCGTCAGTAGTTGGGACCCTGACTATGGCGGAGTCAGGACCCACCGAGCGTTTTTTGGTTAACCTTTACGAGGGCAAATATCGAATGATCGGGCTACATTTGTCAGGAAAGGAGAGTCAAGAATCAGATATCCGGAGACAAGCGGCCCAGTACTGCCTTAGATCTGGCCATCTGTTTCGAAGGCTGAGCGGCTCGGGGATGCCCTTACGAGTAGTCTGTGACCCTGAGGAGAGGCAGACAATAGTTGCGGAGCTTCACGACGGGGTAGTCGGAGGACACAGGGGAGTCAAAGGAACCTACGAAAAGGCACGCAGGTTGTCCTGGTGGGAAGGACAGTATAAGGACGTCGAGAGGTATCGTAGGACCTGCGAAGAGTGCCAGAAGAGAGCTCTTGTGAGATACAAAGAGCCACTTCATCCATCCTATCCGACCAGACTAGGAGAGAAGGTACACATCGATCTAGTGAAAATGCCGAAAGGGGTAGGCAATATGAAYTACGTCGTGAACATACGAGACGATTTCACTGGGTTCGTGGACGGTAGACCTATCAGGAGTAAGGCGGCAAAGGAAGTAAAGAACTTTGTCCTAGAGTACTTATCTAGGTATGGTTGTGTCAGCAAGATAGTGATGGACAGAGGAGCAGAATTCCTGGCTGACGAGGTTCAGAATGTATTCAAGAGAGCTGGGGCGAGAGTTTCGATAGCCACCGCCTATCACCCACACTCGAACTCCCCAGTAGAGAGGGGACACCAGACTCTGATAGCKTCACTGTCCAAGTGGTGCAAGGGTAAGGACAGTGATTGGCCACGATATTTTCGATACGCAATATGGGCGGACAACGTCACGGTCCGGGCTAGTACCGGATACCCACCGTACACCTTGTGGTTTGGGCGACATTATCCGCTCCCCATAGAGTTTCATGTCGACAGCTGGACAACCGTCGACTGGGCGGAGGAGATGTCCAGAGAGGAACTCTTAGCTGCCCGAACAAGACAGATAGCCTACGGTTTGGACGATAACCTCATGACAGCGGCATATCATCTGGCAGTGGAAAGGGACAAGGGTAAAGAGAGATGGGATAAGAACGTCCGAATCAGGAAAGAGAGGGTGAGCGTAGAAGATATGGTCCTTCTCTATGACGTGGCACTAGAGAGGACCTGGACCGGAAAACTCGCAAATAGATGGATGAGACCTTACAGAGTGGTTCAGGCATTCGACTAGGGTGCATATATGATAGCAGAATTGGATGGATCTAAGTGGAAGGACCCAGTGGCGGGCGCTAGGTTAAAGCTGTTTAGGCCCAGGCCCGCGCCCGCCTTATCGCTGATCAGCCCGAAAGGGAAAGGAAAAGCCATAATGGAGGATGGAGCCCCCTTGAGGCAATTCGAGGCAGGGGAGAGTTCCAAGAAAAGGAAAAGAATAGAGAAGAGAAAGGTCAAA